AATTGTGCGAGTACTAACTGAACGTAGTAGTTTAACATAACCTTTGACAATACAAACTTAACACTATTACAGAACAGAGAGGTACACCTGTGCAATTCAATCGCATATAATATCAAGTAATTAGTTTAATTTCACATACGGTTGCAGATTCTGCAACGTCTCTGAACAGGTGGAGAAGTATCTATAAACGCCGAAGTAACAAAAATGTAATATAATGTCCAAGAAGATCTCATCCTGTAGATTGTGGTGTGGAGAAACTTTTATTTTAGGCATTTGGCCACAATATTCCAGATTTTAAGGCCCCAGAATGCTTCGTTTTGGAATTATCTAACTGTATAGATTTCAACTACACTGCCGAATATTGAGGGTTTGCATTTGACATGAGTATTTAGATTTTTTAAAGAAATTCACGACTCTGTGAAATTCCCTTTCTTTAGAGACCTTATTTATAAAGATTGGTTGCGCGTAAGAACCGCAAAACAACTGTACTACTGAAATAATACATAGCATAAAAAATCTCCTTTCTTCAAGAATGTAGTTGTACGAGTGATCCAAAAACTTCCAAAATTTTTCAAATTTCAAAAATTCAGAGTTAACTGTGTTCTATGCCATCTTTATAACTGTGCCGTCATTTATTTTAGTTAGAATTTTAAAGAAAAAATCGAGATCACTGGGGTTTCATATTCAATACCCCCAAAGATCAAACAATTATTTTCAAAATCGTAGAGCTTTGAATGGACCACATTGCTTGTAAAATATTCATTTTGGAAATTTTTTTATTTATTTAATTAATATTTATATTTATTTGGCTGTCTTACAGTCTTAAACACAAATAAAACACGTACCAGTTGATAGCCCAAACTCCACAAATCTTGAAACAATTGCCATAAGCATCATAATATTTCATAAGGCCCACCATATAATTAGCGCATATAAACCGCCAAACAAAGCTTTTCTCCAAAAATCTTATCAGGAAATATTTAACACCAACAACAATATGATTGCGTAAGCTTTCGCGGTCGGAATTTATATTGTCTAGACCAGGGATGTCCACTTGCAAGACCTCAAGCATCACAACTAAAATCTTTGATATTGTGGGCAAATTTTAATTACTCATGCGATACAATGTAATGCTGATCTCGTAACTTTGTCCTGATGCTATGAAACGGGCGGAATGCAACCATGCGTGATATCAGACAATACCATGCAAAACACAGCGAAACACGTTGGGGTGATTTTGAATTTCTGAATTTACTATCAAATAAACCTTAAATATAAATTTGTATTGTGGTGAGTTATCTTTGGCATTTACAAGGGAATATTCTTTATTACAATAGCAGCTTTCGATGGCTTAGCCATCATCATCAGTTTTCTAGTACAAGAAATATAAAAAACATTTTAAAACATGAGTAAAAACAACATTGAGATAAATATATTAATGATAATAATAATTTAAAATTTAGAAAAATAATTAACATTTTAAGAACGGAAAGAAAGGGGGTGTTAAATCATTCAAAATTATAAGAAAGTGAATAAAATTGAATTTGAACATGTGAAAGTTTTGTAACAGAAAACATGAAAATATAAGTTGAGCCGTTTCTTACCTGCTGTATGGAAGCCATAAAACTACTACAGGCTCCGGCGAACCAAGGGGCTTAAGAACCCGGCTGTGAGGTGGAGGAGTGTAATGGCCTGGGTGCGGTGCGCTGTCTGCTGTGCCGCCCCGGATGAGTGCGGTGTGGGAGTGGTGTCTAATAATAATTTTAGTAGGGGAGAGGGGATATGGTAGTTGTATACATTCAGCAAGTTATCATTTAAATGGATATGGAGGTTTTCCCAAGTTAATCTGGTGGGATATTGATTTTCTATTTCCAGTATACGAATATCTGTGTGTGGATTGAATGTAAGGCCTGTCTGAAGTAAATGATTGGCAAAGTGAAATTTACAAGAGTTATGTTTCCAAGCATGTATATGTTCTTTAATTCTGGTGTTAAACGTCCTGCCTGTTTGAACAATATATTTGGCTTCGCAGTCATGGATATGTAGGGAGTAGACGCCGCTTTTTCTGAAAGATTTGTATGTTGTTTGGGGGATAGCATTTTTCTAAGGGAATTATGAGATTTGAAT